TTAAACTATACGCTATCCCCTTCTATTTTTCCCGCTCTATAAGATGGCGGTGTCCATTTTCCTCTATCTACGCGCGTCGCGGTCTTCAACCTCTACCAAAGAAATTAACGTTTAATATTTATCATTAATACTGTGTTTGTGAATATTCTGCCTGCGTTTATTGCAAAATAAGACAAAGAATTAGTCGCATTCGATTAATATTTGAGTATATAAATATATATATATATATATATATATATATATATATATATATATATTCGTGCAATATGCAATGTGTGTAATACGCCGGTTCTCGTTATAATCTATTTAAATCTTACTAACCTTTTATTGCCGTACCTCCGTATACTTCGTCAGAAATTGTTGAGGTAGTTTTTCTGCAGATAAATGCAATTAGCGATTTATCAACATTTCAGCCGGCTTTCTATTTTCAAATATTTCACACCCAAACCTCACACAGTTGACAGACAGACACTGAACGTTTTTTTTGCCCGGCTGCACACTTTCCGAAAATAGCGAGTTCTGATTGGTCAAGAAATACTGACATTTTCCTCAGTTTTCATTGGCCAGGATTTGTCGCCTTTTATCATACAGCATAATCGCTACCTTGCCAATAATTGCTAGTTAAACATGGTGTTCCTGTCTTACCCTTTGACACACGATTCATTTAATATCGCCGATTCTTAATAAATGTGCGTCGGAGTTCACGAAAACATGTATTTTGTTCCGTAATAACGTTTTATATATATATACAATGGGGAAAAAAATCCAAAGTACAGATTTAAATATCTTACCTAATTTTATTCACTCTCAGAAGAAGTACCCTCATCGAGAGGAACTGGGATTGGAGGGGGCTGGTCCCGCTGAACCCCGCCTTGTGGCGGGTATAATGATGCCGCTTCCACAAAAAAAGAATGTAAAGGAGAATTAGATTTTTCTTTGATAAACAAATATCGCGCGATGTATTGGGGCAGATATTCCGATCTAATTCCGGGCCCCCTTATCCATTATTTCAGATCGCGCCACAATCGGTAGGTAGCCCATTTATCACTGTATATCGTACTGTCTGGTTTTATATATTTCTTAATCAGGGGTATGAGCGTGTCAGCACTCCTGTCACCATCCACGAGTGGAACAATAAATTTCATTTTACTGACACCCTCAATACCCCCAAAGAACCACACGTGGCTCACCTGTCAGCCCCTGTTATACTTGCGCCGCACGAGCAGCGTCTCGTCGATTTCAACGATTACCCCGGCACCTCCTGTTGAATTTTGATTTTGTAACCACCAATTTTGGGTTACTTCAGAACAAAAACTCCAATCTACGCTAGTAGGTCTAGACATGCCAATACATTTCGTGACAGTTTGATGATCCCAATACTTTTGTAACCAATGATTAACAAATAAAACTACTTTATATGGTTCCAAATGGGTTCCCTGCAGAAACGTGCCGCTGTAATCGCTGAACGAGAAAACGTTTTGTTTTGCATTTTTTTCCATCTGCCACAATACCACGTATGTCGATCTTCACGGTATTTGCAAGGTAAATCGCAGTGTGGACAATTTACCGCCCTTGGCAAACACCGTGTGCTCTCAGGAATTCTATAGCGTTATCATTTTTCTCAAAATAATAAGATATTACACTATAATAGTGAGGGTTAGGTAATTCTAAGGAAGACAGCCGCGCCTATTTTTTATGTTTTTTTTCTTCAACCCCCATCATTCTTGGGGGACCCGTGGGGAATCGGGGGTTGAAGGGGGGGGGGACAAACACGGGAGAAATATTGGAATGAAAAGTGAAAATATTGAAAAAAATCGAAAACCCGAGCCAAACTTCGTAAAAAAAAGTTAAAGAAAGCGTAAAAATGAAAAACCCGACCCGAAAAAAAAAACGTAAAACCCGAGCCAAACTTCGTAATAAAAAAGTGAAAGAAAGCGTAAAAATGAACAAATCGATCCGAAATTCAGATCATCAATAAAAGAAAGAAGAAAATATATCATTAAAATCGATAAAGTAGATAAACGTAAACTTTTCGTTCACCCGTCGCTGTAAGATGCACCGCGTCGATGTCAGTGTTGCCGAAATGTCGAAGAAATTTCTTAAAGATCACTGCACAAACGAAGCATACCTTCCTAACCCCTTATCGGCGGTAAGCCCCCGGACCCCCTTCCCTGAGGGTATTTCGCCGTACAGACGTAGCATACCTTCCTAACCCCCTACGGGGGCAAGCCCCGGACCCCTTCGCTGGGGTAGGGGCAAGCCCCCCCCCTTCGCTGAGGGTATTTCGCCGTACAGACGTAGTATACCTTCCTAACACCCTACCGGGGGCAAGCCTTCCCTCGGGTATTTCGGCGTACAGACAAAGCATTCCCTTATAACTTCCTACCGGGGGCAAGCTCCCGCACCCCCTTCCCCAAAAATATTTAGCTTACTTTAAAGAGACGGAGGGTACAACTCGGCAGCAGCCAGCAGGAAATGGTGCAGCCGCTTATTTGCCTCGGGGTGGGCTTTAAAGAAAATCACCCTCGCGTGGTACCCAACAAAATGAGCTTTCCGGCGGCCAAATTGTGGGACTGTCCGTTTTGCGTCCCGCCACTTCCTCTCAATGTTATTTGTATGGGTGCCTGTTTTGGGATCAACAAAATTATATGAATGATTAACTTTGAGGTGATTGAAGCCCTCTTCCTCTAGACTGTCATAGGCTTTCCAGCAGTCTGAAATTATTGTGGTCCCGGGTCGCACATATTCTTTAATAATGGCAATCAGGGTGGCCGAGTCCCTTTTTTCAACGGGGACGAAAAAAAGGTCTTTACTTTCACGGCAAAAGCCACCAAACACCCTCTGGCCCTC